TTTTTTTCCATTTGCATTCTGGGTAAAAATCTATCTACAAACGCGAATATGTCATCGGCAGTAATCCAGCCTACTATCCAACTTTTCTAAGGTTTCTTTCTCGAAAAACTAAGACCGGCCCCCGACCAGAAAAGGGAACAGTTATGTGGCCCTCGCAGGAAAAAGTTTGGGAACCCCTGATATTAAGCATGCGTGCGCACAAAAAAATCAGCAGTGCCATGTTTTACGCAGAGTTGGAATGTATAAAAATTTACTTTCCTTCAAGGTTTGCTTAAATAACCACACACTTTTTTGCTGGCGTGAAAATGTGCGGCAGCCATACAAACATTTTCTGTGGACAACATCAAACTACAAGGCGTCAAAACTCATCTAAATAATCTGAAATCTGAGTACATTCGATGTTATTTACACCAAGAAGCATCAAACGGACGGCGGAGTCCGGCGACGACAGGCGCTTAAATTCCTAACAAAAGTATGTTTTTATCTTCTTTTTTTTTTTCAAAATCTCTTTCTCTTTCTTACTGTTTATTCAATGTCACATGCTGTTTTTATTTTTTCTTTAATTATGTAAAGCACCTTGCTGCTGAAATGTGCTATACAAATAAAATTTTATTGATTTGATTGATTGATCAAACCTGGTGTTTTTTCATGATTTTAATATTTTATTGTGTAAATGTAAACGATGAAACTAAACCATATTTATCCTCAGACAATAACATAACATGCACACAAAATAAAGAAAATAAAAATAAAAGGACATGAAAACCTCTCACCAATGTAAATAATAGTTTTCCTCAGTTTTTGTCTCATAAAGATGTAACATGTCGGTCATAAAGACAGTAGAGGCTGTAAAAGCAGCTTTAATGAACTGTGTGTCTCACCTGGACCAGAGGAGTCAGAGGACAAACCCAGCTGGTTGGACAGAGTCGGATCTATGAGATGAAGACGTTTGATCATTAATCTGCTGGCTCTCTGTCCTTTCATCCTAACCTCATCTATGGTGGCGCGGGCCTTGTTTGCTCTGGTTTGGTTCCTTTGCAGTATATCCTCTATCCCCAAATGAGTAAAGACCCCATCTGCCTCAAGGCCATCAAGGAGCTGATTCAGGATTTCCTCAGAAACTCTCTCCACAAACTCAGAGCGAACCTTGAAAAGTTTTTCTCCTGCAGACAGAAATCAGAAACAACATGAATTCAAATCGACGTCAGAGAGAAAAACGTGATGAAGATCAACTATTCATGTTTCTCCATCCAGAGATTCAGAGTCTGTTGATCCTCAGGTCTAAACCTGCTGTTGTGTTTCTGCCTCATATCTGAGTGACGACCACTGATTCTGTCTACATGAGACCAAATGAAGCTTCTGGTTCATCACTTCCTATCATCAGTGCAGGAAGAACAATAAAAGAAACACCTTCTAAATATGGAGCTGAACTATTTTAGGAAAACAGGAAACTCTGATATTATTGGTGAATATTATGATGAAAATATTGACTGATTAACAAACATTTTCCTCTCTTTACCATCATCACCATGTCTTCACGTCTAAGCTTTAGGATCTCTGTCGCTAGATGTTGGATATTAAAAGACATAGCAAGTCTTTTCATCTGAAATAATAAATTATTAATAAATGATGTGATTTATTACCCTATAATAAATAAATACTATATATATTAAATATATATATTAAATATATAGATATATTAAATATCTGGGACATTACATAACTGATGACCTATCTGATGATCGTGACATTTGGAGGCAGTATTGTATGATGTATGCACAGGCTAATATTCTGATCAGAAAGTTTGGTATGTGTTCATCCTCTGTGAAGATAGCTCTTTTTAAAGTTTTTTGCACTTCATTTTACACAGCCCATCTATGGCGAAGATACAAAAAAAGTAGCCTGCAGAAACTTTATGTGGCATACAATGATGGCCTGAGGCTCCTACTCAAAGTGCCTAGATGGAGCAGTGCTAGCCACATGTTTGCACATAACGCTGTTCCCACATGTGCAGCTGCGCTCAGGAATCTCATGTATAAATGTATGTGTAGATTATCCGTGTCATGCAATAATATAATAGCAATTTTAGTAAACCCTGTTTTTAGTACAGTGAGATTTTTCTCAAGATTGTGGAAACATTGGCGTCATCATTTATTTGTGACTCAGTGAATATGTCATGTTTCTTTTTGTTTTCTTTTTTCTCTTGTTTTTGTTTTTTTTTTACTATGGACCTCTTTTGTGTCTGGAATAAAGATTGGTTGATATATCCACTAAATGATATATATGGATATAGTAAACATTCCTGAAGTATCAGAGCTGCTGGCCTGTTCTTCACTTCGGTTCCTTTTAGTTTCCATCTGAGTTCAGTTTTTACCTTCAGGTTTCACAGAAACTCACAATGTTTCCACCAGAGCTTCACTGAACAGGAAGCATGAAAACAATAAAGACACTGAGGCTGAGCTTCATCACATGGCAGCAACACAGGCTGTGATTGGTCAGTTTGATCCTTTAAGATTCTTCATTTCTGCTTCTGATCACTTACCAAAATCCACTTCCTGCTGCTGCGCCATCTTTTACCTGGAAAACGTGAACAATTCATTATTTTTCAGGCTTTATTTCATAAATAATTTACTTTATCTTATGCAGTTGAAATGGAAACTAAAAACACCCAAAAAGTACAAATTTAAAACACACTAGAACAAACCAAAAAACATTTTATGTAATTATTAAAGCTACAATGTCAGTGTATATTATTAAAAACATTAGTGATATAAAAATACATCAATCAAATTTTTCTTCACAATGACATGTTCACATGTTCCTGACTGTCAGTCATTCTGATTTCCTTCAGGTTGAAACATCTTCACCTCTTGTTTTACCATCTGACTGTAATGTATTGATGCTGCCACTAGGTGGCAGCATCAGCTGCAGAAACTCCTCCAGGAAGGAGTCTGTGTGTTTAGTTCTCAGGTTTACAGATTATTTCCTGTTCATCAACAGTTTTCTGCTATTCTGGCTTGAAATGCTCAACTTTGGTTCCCAGATGGCAAAACAAACATATTTGCTACAGTTTTACTTAGAAACTAAAAGGCTCACTGCAGCCATTTGGGTCAAAGGTCAAAATCTTGCCACCAACCCAAAGAGGAAAAACTGCATTGATTATAAAGAGTCTCAGTTCATTTATGTTACATGAACAAACCCAAACATTTAACACTGAACCAACAATAGAAAAATATTTAACAACAAGTAGATTTTCTTTAATTCACCAGGAACTCTGATTTGTTACATAAAAACAAGTTCAGACTAAAGGAGAAGATGCATGTTGGAAATATCAGTCAGTGAAAGAATTCAGTGATTAAAATATAAAATAAAATGTAAGACTTAATATTAAGAGTTTGTAGAACTTACTACTGTGATTGAATCAATAATTTAGCATATATATGGCAAATTATTTTAAAAAACATAGTGAGCCGCAGAAATAGAGCAACAGTCAGAGTGGAGGAAAGTTTTCTTTGTATCAAAGAAACTCGGCTTAAATATCTGAGCTTTCACAAACAAATCTCACATTTTTAGTTCACTTTTTACTTTCAAGGTCAAAATGTAATATATATATATATATATATATATATATATATATATATATAGGCCCCATTAAGAAACCCTGTTTTTAAACGCTGTGTTTTGTTCCAGAGCAGCACTATTTGTAAAGCTACTCCAAGACGAACATGTTGAGTCACAATTATTGTATTTAAGTTGAATCTGTTGCATCATTTTATCCCTTTAATTGATTAGTTTTATAATTAAGTCGATATATATTTTTTTACTTTGTATTGCCATTAGTGTATAATGGCAATACAATATGTGTCGACTGCTCGGATGGAAGAGCCTTCTTCAGCTTTTGCTGCGTTAGCATGTTGGTTTAAATTGGATTAAAAATGCGTGCAATAATGTGAACACATTGAATATGTTTTGAGTTTTTTTTGTTTGTTTTTATTTTTTAGGTTTTTGTTGGCAAACATTTCAGAGGCCTCTAATACAGAAAACTCCACAGAACCAGCAGAACCGCATGACGACATTACGTTCAATACTACCTTGTTTTGTTTTTTTCTTTAAAGCATTAAAGCTTGTGTGGTGCCTCACAGGTTTTTGAATAGTATGTAAATTTAGAAAGATGGTCTGTACATGTGTAAGTTGAATGTGATTGGCTGAAGGAACTGTCAATAGGAGGCCTCTGACTTTTTTATATATATACACAACATTTTTGATCCAAAATGGCCGACTTCCTTCTGGGTGTGGTAAATGGGTCCAGCAGGTATTTTTATAGGTTCTGATGCTTCAAATCAGTTCAGGTCTAAACAGCAGCAGTGGGTGGGGCAGATGGTTTTAAATACTCTAGGGGGCGCTGTGTTGTTATTTCACCATAATCACTTATTATTGATCAATAATTGATTGAAATGTGATCAGCTGTCCTCTGTCACCACAGACTGATTCAATCTGGATTTTCTACTGGTAGAAGCCCAGAGAAATCATCTCTGATCAATAAATTATTGACTTCATATTGAAATATTTTCCATCCACCAACCAGAACCCAGATATCTCAGAACCTTCTGGTACCAGTTTGACTCCAGTATGAAACTGGGAGCAAACTCAGCTGGTTGTCTGGGTTACAGATGAAAACTCAGAGAAAATCAGAGTTTCTGACTGAAATCAGGTGCTGCAGCTCTGCATCAGAACCAGAACCAGAACCGGTTCTGGTTCTGTCCAGCAGCTCAGAGAGAGAAAACCCAGTCAGGACTGGAAACCAGTAGAAAGTGGAGTTAAAACTCACCTGATCAGATCTTTGCTTCTCCTTCTGTTCACACAAACCGAGTCGGAGCCAACAGGAGAAATGGACCTGATTCTCCAGAACTTAAACCGGATCCACCTGAGGCTCCGCCCCCTCTGACAGCAGAGGTGTGTTCACCTGTTGAAATGACAGGAATCCTGTCTGATCATCGTTACCTGGAAATAGATGTCTAAGAACAACAAGTTCACATTTCAGTTTAAAGGATTTTTATAATTTTTAAAACATATTTAGGATTTTTTTGGATCCATATTTTATTAAATTAATGGAAATTTTCAGCTTTATCTATAAATAACTTTAACAACCAACAAATTTCTGCACAGAAACACAAGAGCAATAAAACTAATAATAGTTTCTGCTTCTAATCTGAGCCAAAGAACCAAGAACCTTGAAATGTTGAAGTTTCTCCACATGTTGACACGACCATCTGATATGTTAATATTTATCAAATACAGATTTTATTAATTTATTTAATCTCGTTGTTTATTGTTGATAGGAAAGAAACTTTCTGTAAGTTTGCTCACCTGAACCTCCCTCTTTCATTCCTGATCATAATGATCTTTAAACTTTGGGCTCTTTTAGCCTGGAGGGTTTTAGTTATGTAATAAATCTTCCAACAGAAAATTCAAGAGCTGCCACAACAAGTCTGAATGTGCCGGAGGCGTTTACTGGAAGATGTTTATCAGTTTGTGTCTCTGCTGTGCAGGAATGTTTCATCGATGCCTCAGTTTGGGTCGAGGTACATCACACATTTAACTCTAGAATATTTTGCTCTATAGAGGAGTTGATGGTCGGCACAGTGACTTATACCTGGAAAATAAGACCTAATCTAATCATTTTCTACTATCATCTCCCTTTAACCAGCTGGTAATATAATAACCTAAATGGGAGAAAATCACAGCAGAAATGATCTCACTGCATTTTCTGACTGTTTGATATCTTAAAACTTGAAGATTTTATTTCACCACATTAGAAACATTTTTACCAGATTGTTTAAGTTTTGAGTCAATATTTAGCTGAGAAACCTGAATGTGGACATTAAATCTCTCTAGTTTTCTCTCTAACTGGAGGAGATAAAAGCAAACAGCAGCAGAGAAACTTAATCATGATTCTCTGAAAACAAAGACTGACACAAAAACATTCAAAACAGAGGACACATCAACATACACTGTAAAAATCAGATTAAATCTGTTCACCTTTGGGAAAGTCCATGTCAGGATCAGGTTGGTTGTTTTGTTTAGTTGCACCTGTAACCTGTTAGTTTATCAGCCCAGGTCTTTAATTCATCCTCCTCAATATTTAAGCCTCTTGTTCTCAGTCTCTTCCCTGCTACTTCTCCACATGTTCTTCATGCAGGTTATTTCTTTGGATACATTAATTTATTCCACTCTGGATCTCTGTAGATTGTTTGTACGATTTTTCATCATGTCTCCCATTAATGTCTCTTCACTTACAAACTGGTTCTGTGTGTTGATTGACACAGAACGCTGAGCTGCTTTGATTCCTGTTTTTGGCCTCATCAAAAATGTAATTCTGAGATGAAACTGAGCAGAACCTCTAATTAGACACACACACACACACACACATGCATTGTTCTGACCTGCCATCTCACACACAGGTTAGCAGCAGATACTCTTCTCTCCATAACTTCATTAGATTTATGTGTATTTAGTCCTGAAGCTGCAGAGTTGAAATCAGAGAGAAGCAACAGGACAGGATGACAGGTGAAGGTTTCTGGTCAAACCCTTTACTGAAAATATCACTTTTCAAAAAGTCACACTAGTAAATATCATTTAACACAAAATGGAGAACTGGATCAGGAAGCGTCTGCCTTACCTGGGAAAACCTGCTGAGCCTGGCGGTGGGGTCATAAGGTCGTCCATCAGCGGCCTGCTGCGTTTTTGGGTTAAAAATGTTCCAAACATTCAAGTAAGTGTCATAATTTAGAGGGCAGTGAAGCCTGGTGGCTGATAAAACACAGAGGAAACCCAGACTTCTGTCTGTGGTTCCAGTCGGTCTCTGGGCTGATCTTGGTCCCTCAGGAGACGGTGACAAATAACCTTTCAGCAAAATATATGAGCTTCTTTTAAGTCAATCATTTATTAATATTGATGAAAAAGATCCAGTTCTGCAACACTGCCAGTTTCTCTAATTAAGTTAGTGAGTCCTGATGCAGCTGCTGCTTGTGGCCACCAGATGGCGCAGTGGTGCCAGCTGCAGATGCTGGACAGTAAGTACCTGGAGCAGGTGGACCAGCTGTACGATGACTCCTTCCCCATGGACATCCGGCAGTACCTGAGCAGGTGGATCGAGAGCATCGACTGGTAAGGAGCTGATTCATCCGCTTCGGATGTTATCATCCCATTGAATGGCCTCAGTTGGTCCCTGCTCTGCCTGATATCAGGCTCAGCAGGTCATCAACCATTCGTATCGGTGATCACAGCAGCTTGTCTCCGATAGAAACTTTTTTCTTTAAAAACAAAAAACAAAACCTTTATTTACAATTTATGTGCTAGCTTGTACGGAGCCCTCCAGGGGACATGGGGAATTTTTTTCTTTTGCGTTCCCTCGCAATAATCAGTTCATGCGGCATAATTATATTGTAAGCCTTTTTACGGTGGCCGTAAAAAACATGTTTTATTATAAAACACAGCAAACTAATGGTGGTAGAGGGCCGCACTGGGTTAACTCGGTGAATCTCATCTGTCCGAGTATCAACACCAAACCTCTTCTTTGTTCTGTCACAATTATCGATTTATTTAATTCTGATTATCATGCTCCAAACGTTGCCAGGACTGACCACCCAGCTGACCTCAAACACCCACACCCAGCAGCGTCACCTTCCCATTCATACTTGATGACGTCACGCCCACATCGACACGCACACCACCAGGTGTCAAAGCCGCTGCGCCTGTCGGATCAATAATTACTTATTTCATTCATATTGCTCTTAGAGAGCCTCAGTGAAAATGTGTTTATTATTATTAACGCTTTGGTGCAAAAAACTGATTGAAAATCGATTTATTTACTGCATGTTTATGTCTGTTAAGCCTCAGATGGAACGGCACTGAAAGCAGTTAAACCATTCAGACACGAACACAATAGAGACACAATTAGATGACTGATTACCCCGCGATAATAACCCAATAGTCCATGGAAAAACCTTATAAGCTTGTATATAAAGCAGAAAGAACGGCGGCCACCATAAAAAAGGCTTACAGTATCAATTATGAATCATGAACTGATCAGTAGATTATTGCGAGGGAACGCAAAAGAAACAATTCCCCATGTCCCCTGGAGGGCTCCGTACATAACCGCCCTGCTCTGACTTCATTCTGAATGTTTCCAGGATAATTTAACATTTCATAAATATTCTCCAACCTTCAGACCGAAAGTTCAGCATCTCAGCGTCTAAACCAGAGTTGTAGAGTTTTGTTTCAGCTTTGTTGGAGCTGAAGCTCCTCTGAAGCTGCTGCTGGAGTCTGTTAGCATCGCTAGCTCCGCTCAGACTCTGCGGGCTGTTTTCATCTCTGTGGAGCTGCTTCTAGTTCACACTGACAGATAAAACATTGATTTCATGTTAAAGTAGGAAGAAGAATTAAGAAATAACAGTAGAAGCACCAAGAGAGCAACAAGGGCTTCATCAGCCGATCAAGAGCAGGAAACTAGCTAACTACTGATTCAGCCTTCTGCCCTCTAGTGGACACAGTGTGTATATACAACCACAGTAAAGCTGGAGAACTGATATGTGAATAGCACTTCCTTTGGATTCTTTCAAAGTAAAACAAGGAACTAAATTCTCCTGCAAGTACATTTTAGCTTGTTAGTTCAGTATTCTATCAGAAAGCACGAGTGTGTATTTTTCTTAGGATGTGATATAAATAGTATAATGGGGCTCTGAAGCCAAATTATCTGAATTATTCTGTTTTCCAGTAAAAAAATGAATATTTCATTTATATTCTCTTGACTCTAAAAAGGAAACTCAGTATCTTGGCGAACAAACCAGTTATTTGTTTAATTGGGAAACATAAGTGTGTAATTTACTTAGGATATATAGATGTTATCTGTATGTAAATAACACATCTATATATTAAATTATCTGTCAGTCCATTACACAGACCATAATAATAATATTTACAATGAGAATTATATAAACATGATCAACTTAAAAGAAGTCAGAAACCAGCTGCAGCTCCACAAACTCACCTCTATGTTCAGAGCGGGGTATTTCCGCCTTCTGGTGGCCATAGTGGGAACTACAGCCCTGATAATGCTGCATTAATTACATTTAATATCCACTTAATGTGGAGCTTAGAGAAAAACTAACAGTCTTCTTGAGTCATATTCACATATTTCTGACTCAAATATTATTCTGACATATTTTAATTCACTGTTTGATGTTATGTAATAAAACAGTTTTAAATCATAAAATATAGCTGCCGTGTTAAACTCTTTACAGGACATTTTTTCTGGTCAGACTGAATGAAATCCTGCAGTGACTCTTATTTAACGACACTAATGTAAGCCAACTTGATCTGACTTTATAAAAGTAAAAATTAAAACAAAGATAAACATCTGGATGAACAATTTCCATTGATGATGTAAATAATGAATAAATCCAGAAAGACGTCAGGGTGACCGATGGAGAACGTCCAGATATGTGATGAAAAACGACTGTTTCATCTCATGTAGATCTGAACATATAAACTTGTATCCAAGCATCATCATAGGTGGAGCCGTTGGTCCCGTCCGTAATAGTGCTGCATTTTCCTGCTGACCTGAACACATCTTCAATAAAACCAGCCTCACCGAGGCCAGTAGACCAGCGCTACGTTCAGGAAAACTCTGAAGCTTCTTGGCTGGTTTTGGTCTCTAAACCGAGACGCTCTCATGTGAAGTGAAATGTTGCACACTTAAGGTGCTGGAGATGACCTTTGACCCCTTGCTGTCCCAGGTTTTAGGTCGTGTTGAAGTGAAGAGCGAGACTCCTGACCTGCTGTGAGTGACGTGACGCTCGGTGGAAGTTCTGCATCCTGGTCCGTCTTCATGTTGGAGACGTGAGTCACAAGATTCAGATGATTTCACAGTCGTCACTTTGACGATGCAAACTCTGGTTCCTCTCAGTGTCTGGTCTGTCAGAACGCTGCTCAGGTTTCTCCTAAAGATTTTCCTGCTTTTCTCTAAAGTTGTACGACTTTAAATCCACACAAATAAACCCTAGAAAGTCGGGTTATTATCTCATCTTCTAATGCAAATTTTCATCCATCAGCAAAAGTTGAAAAACAAAACTGTTCTCCTTGAACAACAGCTGTGCAAACTGATCATCACGTCTGTGAGAAACATGGAGTTTATCTCCGTTTCATTCCAGCTTTGACTTTTTATTCCTCCTCGTTGCATCAGAAACGTCCCGTCCTCAAAGTGAATAAAAACTGTTTGAGTGAAACCAGGTTTCATGTGGACTGAAGTCGTTTCACTGTGAACTTCATCAACTTTCTGCTTCACAACAAAACCTTTCAAAGCCAAACACACATCCAAGCAGCCGAGTCAGAAATGATCAGTTCAGATATTGTTTGTTTCCTCTAGATCTGGTCCGGACGTCTGGATCTGTTCTGAAGTGGATTTAAAGCTGCAGATCCGGAGGAAGTTTCAGTGTTTGGCTCTGAATCTATAGAGCTGCTATCATGGCTTCCTTCTGCTGCAGGAAACACAGAGAGGCAGCAGCATGATGCTGCCACCGCCAGGCCCCCAAGGGGCGCTGGTGTCTGGGTGCTACAGCAGCAGCCAGAAACAGCTGCAGTGATCAAGGCCTGGGGGAGTCTTCATCACACTGGGATGTTTCACCTGCTGCGTTTCCATGACAATGTCAGCAAATCTCAGTCTGCTAATGTCAGGAAAACACAATTTCACTGCTGCAGTGAAATAAGAAATTAGATAAAAATGTGAATAATTTAGCTCAAGAGAAAAGTCATTAATATTCATGCAGACACGGATGGAAACAGTTCAAACTCATAACTCAGCCATGGTGGCGCTAGCGCTCATCATCCATCAGCCAATCAGCGCCTCGTTCAGGCCTTGGAGCGATAAGCCCCGCCTACTGGAGCGGCTCCCTGTGCTGCATTTTGGGAAATTGTATTTTGACAGAAGAGCGGTGGATTCAACATGTTGGAACGACTCTCAGCTTTTTCTGACCTGCTGCTGTGAAGCTCTGGAGGAGCCAGAAAAAACAGAAACTAACCATCATCCTCCAAACACTTCCGGGACACAAACGATGAAGGCGGGAATCTAACCGGCAACCAGCGACTGCAGGGTGAACTCCTGCTGCTCCTGATTTCCTTCACATTTGAGTTTCATCCAGCAGAACATGATTTAATCCTGTTTCTGTTGTTTCCATGTAGCATTCTGGAATAAAACCAGGGATTTAATCAACACAATGTTCAGATTTTTCTCCTTCCATGTTTCCAGCCTCAGAGAACAGAAGTTGTTTTAAAAGCAAAACTTCTAAACAGAATGAAAAACTAAAGTAACACGAAGCTGCATGATAGCTGAAAAACACGTTTAGCTTCAGTGACGCGGCTGAGATGAATCGTTCTCACCTTCATGTCCAGCTGGAAACTCCTGACAGCAAAACCTGCAGAAAGCTTTAATCCCACTGACAGGTTGAACCAGATTCTTCGCTTCTCATTCCTGCTGCAGCTGCAGAGTCTCTTGTTATTTCTAGTTTTCTCCATATAAATCTAGGAGATAAATGTTTGTAATTAGATGTGACCTCTGACCTCTGCAGTCAAAGCACATCTGCACTTTAAGTGTCTAAAGAGATTCTCCAGAAAGATCCGGCTGCTGCTGCAAAGAATCAGATCAACTGGGAATAAAGTTGGATTTTCAGTTTTCAGCTTTTATTCAGCAGCTGAACCAGAATCTGATGTTTCATCCTGAGCATCTAGCAGAATGAAAACTAGAGAAAAATTAAATGTGAAATAAAGATAAACTTTACAATATTGCTAGCAGTGGGTCTGCAACTAACTAAAATAATAATTTTCAGTTTCAGGCTGCAATTAATCACATCAATCAAAAACTATGAATAAATGAATTCATCTGTGAATAAATGTATCACATTAATATAATGCTGCTGCTGTGAATGTTTAAATACTTTTATCTGTTTTTACTGTAGAAAAGGGAACATTACATGTGTGTGGGGAAAACTTCAGCAGTTTAATTTGCTGCTTTTGAATAAAAGTTTATTGTTTCAGAGAGAAAAGAAAGTAAAATGTATTATTTAAAATTAAAGCTAACAGAAGAAATTAACTCGTTTATATCGCTCTTAATGTGAAAGTACTCACCGGAAGTGAATGTGGTTTGTAAACTCTACTTTTTTTTATGTAACTTTATTTCAAACAAACAACATGAACATACATATGGATGTTAATGACATGTATTAAAATATATAAAAACAAATTTCAGACATTCAGGGTGTTGATAAAGTCTAGAGAGACAAAAGTTAAAGAATATATATACACACACACAGGTAAAACTACTTTTTCAATTAGTTTTCATAACAAAAAGTGTCCAAAATATATTCAAATACATAAGGATATATTACAGCAAAAAGAAAAATAAACAGAGGGATCTGTTTATGAGATGAAGTTAAACTTTTGGAGATGAGTTAAAGTTTTTACCAGTTTCTTATTATTAAAGTTAAGTTTTTCAACAGAGGCAATACACATTTTAACTCAGTTTCTTGACAATTATTAGAAGAGGGGATTTTTTCACTCCATTTCATCTTGTGGACATAATATTTTGCTAGGATTATAATAAAATGCACTATATATATATTTCAGCTGAAGAAAAAGTTGAATTGTTAAAGATGAGTAAAATACGTAAATTAAATATTTTTTCTGTAAGCCCGACCAAAATATTGTAGTGAGAACATTCCACAAATAAATGTTCAATACTTTCGCCTTCACACTGACAAAAAGAGCAGTTGTTGCCGACATCTGGAGAGAAGCAACAAACGTTATTTTTAACCGGATAATATCTATGTAAAATCTTAAATAAAAATTATTTGATCCCATTAGTAATTATATATTTATGAGGCAATAAAAAAATGCACTCCACAATTTTTTGCTGAGATAATCCCATCTATATTTACTTATGGGAGTGGAGAAAGTTTGTGTTCTGATAAACCCGTTTGTAAATTTCTTATTCATTATATTAGTTCCTTCAATTGAAATCGAGTCATGAAGGTTTAAATTGTTTGGTTTGTGCTAAACAGAGCAAACTATGAGGAACAGCTTTAATAATCACTTCAAATTCTTTGAGATATTTCTATGCTATTGTTCATAAATATACCACTGATTTATCAAATATTGTCAACCCACTTAAGAAAAAATGGTTTTTATGCATTATATAAACATTGTTCCATAAGATGCAGTAATGAGGAGAGTAGTTGTGTTTATATAGAAGATTCCAACACAGCAGAACCTGCTGATGAAATTTAGTTAATTTGACTGGAAGTTTTCTGACTGAGAAAGAATAAAAAATTTAGACCCCACAGTTTAATATTTTCCCATATCAGTTCAGTAAACATTGAATTTAGATTTTTTTCTTTAGAAATCTTTTAATCCAATTAATTTTTAACATTTGATTAAAGACAGTAAAAGTCAAAACATTTAAACCTTCAGCTAAAGAGTTTGAAAGAACAGATTGTTTCATTTTTCCATATAAACTTGGAGAATTTTATCCAGATCAGAACAGAGCGATTTACTAACGTCAAGTGATGCGAAAAGATACGACGCCCTTGATATTCCTTCTGCTTTGCTTAATAGTACTTTATCATAAACAGTGTAGCATTATTTAATGTACAGAAGGACCAGGTGGAATAAATCAGACTAAATTCATCTACTGGAGTTGTTGTCAGTAATCAATAAAAACAAAAAGAACTGCTTTCAATACCATGCATTTTAAAGAGAAAATTAAAATGACCACCACAAGACAAGCATACATAGAACCCAAAATAATAAATACAAAATAAATAAATATACACAGTACTGCAGCAGATCTTCCATACATTTGTGCACAACTGTCTTAAATTTCCCCGCTGGTCAGCACAGCGTCTGACCGACACACATTCAAAAAGTCCATGGTTGAATTGTCCAGATATTTGAGATGACGATGTCCAAGCGCAAGTCGTTTCAGATGAAGAGATGAATAGTGGATTGTGTGTCTGAATGGTGAGATGGAGGGGAAATGATACAGACCAACAGCCTCCTACCAGACCAGTATGGAGTGATTCTCAGGTCCTCCGGGCCCCAGCCAGTTCTCAGAAGCTCACCATCCTTTGACCCTAAAAAGGGTCACCTGGCCTGTATTAAAATAAACAGGACCAGTAAATTACCAGGCTGCTAGTTAACTAGACTTTCAGTTACATACAGAAATAAATGCAATTATATCCTAAATCTAAACTTTCAGACAAAATAAAACATTTATCTCATCATCTTAAACATGTTGAATTTAAGAAATTAGATCATATGATAATTGATGGTCAACAATTAGCGTTGGCTACCGACAACATGCTAAACAAACAACATTGTGTTCACTACTCACCAATTCCATTTATAGTTGAGTGCATGACAGCTTCATGGCTCCAAGCTCACTGGATGTTCAGATCTACATGATTTTTATATTGTAAGTTTGAAAAAGTGCAAAACAAACAAAGAGATGAACTGATTGTTTGGAAGCACCAACCTGAAGCTCCTGTAGCTCCTTTGTCTCCAGCTCTCACACCTGACTGGGAAAGCTGGAGCCTAAATAACGACCTCAGGTGCGTTAATTGGCTGAATGCTGTGTGACTGACTGTCACTCTAACCAATGGAGCAGCAAAGGTGGGACTAAGGGCAGTTTTTACCCCGGGTTACAGCAGTTAAATCCCTAGCTAACCAACTGTTAAATTTCTTTTGAACAGATCCACAAACAGGAGTCAAATTATCCATGTTACTGTGGTCAGTGGAGATTTTAATTCCTAAGTAAGTTACGGTGTTTTTTACAGGAATATTACATATTTCAGTAACAGCGGTTGTATGTAAGGGAAGAATTTCACATTTATTTAGGTTGAGTTTCAACCCTGAAATTCTAGAGAATTTAGCTATAGCAGACAGAGCTGCAGGAATTTCATTAGAATATTTTAAAAACACTGCAGTATCGTCAGCAAGTTGTGAAATTTTAAGTTCTCGGTCAAATATTTTAATTCCCTCAAATGAGCTCTGTCTAATTAAATAGTTTGAAATTTGGCCAACAAGCAGAAAAATGTAAGGGGAGGCTGGACATCCCTGACGAACCTCTTTATGGATATTAAATCGGCTAGAAGTTTTATAGAACTGTTATTATCTCTATAAAGTGTCTTAAAGGCTTTAATGAAAAGTTACCAAAGTTAAAAAGGACAATGTGTCAAAAATGAAGTTGTGACTAACTGTATCAAAGGCCTTTTGATAATCTAAAAACAGAATAATTGGGTCACCAGGGATAAGATCTTTGTAATCAACTACGTCTAACACTAATCGAATATTATCAGAAATGTTGCGTCCAGGCATGAAGCCGTTTTGAGATTCATGTATAATGTCATTTAAAACATTTTTCAGTCTTTTAGCTAAAATGGAGGGCAAAACTTTATTATTAAATGGTCTTTATTTGGTTTTGGGATCAAAGTTGTTAAATAAAAGAACTAACTCGTTTCTTTATTCAGCTTTAGTCCGCCATGTGCTGTCTGTTCTGTTCTCACGAACAGACAGACTGAGAGCCCCGAAGAACACAAACCCATAACATATGCTCCTGGCATAATAGTGCCCCTAGTGGGTAGACATGTAATACAAATAAAACAAAGGAGTAACAATC